GATTTTTCTTGCGATGACAGTTAGAAACTAAGGAATGCTGTCAACGAGGGCAGAAAGCTCCTCATCGAAAACTTCAAAAATATTTCTTAACGAAATCATTGCAGATCCTGCAACCATATCACGTAAAGCATAAAGGATCGACTTCAAGATGCATACGCATGAAGCTGATGGCCATCTTCAATATGTATTGTACAGAATATACATGTTTTGATATATTAAAATTAAATGTTACCATTAGCACTTTCCATTTACAGCAAAGGTTCTTTTCAAAGATTAAGAGAAATAAACAAATAAATAAATAAAATAAAATAAAAAAGAAAGTTTTGAAATCGCCTGTCTCCGACCCAACGATGGCGAAAATAAAAGCCGGACAAAGGAAGTAGGTATATATATATATATATATATATTTGGTACTACCCGATTTCAATAATAAGGGGAGGTGCAGAACTAGATGGTTATAGCAGTTCCATATACAAAATTTCAATGTTCTACAACTAAACCGGTTTTCAGTTATGGAAGATATATACGTACAAACGTCACGAAAGAATTTATTTTTAATCCATTTTACAATCTGCTTTGGAATAAAAAGTCATTTAGTCTGGCCGTAAGTCATCCAAAATAATAATAATAATTAATAAGTAAATAAATAAACTGGATTCGGAAGCGGTCAAAAAGTAAATTTCTATTGAAATCTGAAACCCGAAATTTTTGGCGATTACAGTTCTTCCTTTACTTCATACAAGGAAGAAGTTCTTTGGATCAAATAATAATAATAATAATAATAATAATAATAATAATAAAAAATCCTGTATTAAAATGTGTAAGTTTGTATTATATACAACGCATACTTAACTTAAATTGTGGGAACAAAGGGAAAAAAAAAGTGATATATGCTTTCTTGTTTAAATAACTTTGAACGAAAAATGTAGTTATTTTACATGAAATATGAACGACTGCAGCAAAAATTACAAGAGGGAGTATCCACGACAAATTTGGCCCCGGGGGCCTCTCATTTTGTAAATCGGACCACAGAAGTGCTAAATATGGGCTTGATATTAATTGCAAAAATATTTCTAGAAATGGTAATACAAACTTTGAAAGGAATCCAGAGGAACTAAAAAAAGTAATATTTTAGTAGTGTAGTACTCATTAATGAATTAATTTCTTTAACCAAGATTTGTTTTCAAACAGATGTTAAGGTGATGTCAAAAAATTTATTAGCTATAATAACAGTGATTATCAACCTTTTCTTTTTTTTTTTTTTTTTTTTTTTTTGTCGCGGCACACTTTTAATGATTTCAAAATTTGGCGGTACACAAAGAAAAAGATAAGTTGTTTACTTTCCTATAATACACTGTGTAAAATAGCTTATGATAGTAATTTTGAATATAAAATAAAATAATATGTACTACAAAAACAGCAGTACGTTTATTAAGGGATTAATTACAAGTTAACAATAAGAATACTTTTAATGAGAAATTTGAGCTTGATGTTTTTGATAATTTCATTTTTATTTGGTCGTAAAAATGACCATGCTACTCTCATATCGTTTCCTACAGTTAACAGTCTCGATCTTTTTTTTCGTTTTTGTGTTGGTTAATACTGAAAATCCGAATTCCCACAAATAACTGTAAATATTTTTTAAAAAACTGTAATAATATTTTTAAAGCTTTTTTGGCCATCATGGGATAATCGCATCTATACGTTAATCCGAAATGAATTAATTGATTCTTCCGAATATTTTAAAATTAAATCTCGATTATTAGAAAGCGAAATTAGTTCTTCCTCTTTGTTCAAAGTTAATTCAAATGCAGGTCTTCGACCCCAAATCGGCTTGGATACCACAACTGGCGCGCTTATTGACGTCTTAAAAACCGAATTTCACCAATCCTCATGTGTACTGTATACTAGGATTAAACCCATCATAATTTTTGCTATATACATTTCTAAAATTTGACGGCACACTTTAAGAATTTGGCAGTACACAAAAGTGCCGCGGCACAGTGGTCGAGAATCACTGAGCTATAACTTCAGATTTACTTTTGGCCCAAAGGCCTGTAAGGAGTGTTTCTGGTAGTAGATTGAATCAAATATAATTTGAAATTTAAACGCTCGTTTAAAATATTTTATGCAGTTCCATAAGTTGAGTGATAGACCTTGAATAGCAGCTTACAGTATTTTTCAAGGGCAGAGAAAAGAAATACATCTTTCTTTTACAAGGTAATCTGCGAAAAATAATTTTTTATCGAAGCACAAAGTCGGCTTCCCTGATCTGAAAGTCTGAAGGCAGAATTCGTTGAGCGCTGACTTGACTCTCAAAAAGTCGTATGAAGTGTTTTCGGTCAACAAGTGGAAAATTTATACTTTATTTCTTGCATCGAGTACAGCCAGAATTCAAACTCGCAGTAAAGTTTTGTCATGTCAAAGACAGAGAGGTTTTCATGATCAAAACGATTTTTAATGATTCATAGAACTATAGAGAATAATTGCAATTTCGCAGCATTTGTACTAAAAAACAAGTATTTACTTTTTTCAACTTAAATTTTGCACTCTCATCTTAGAAGCATTTAAAAAATAAAAAGAGTTATGTTTCACAACATTTTGACAAACGGTCCTTAGAAATACATTTAGCCTTTTCTTATAGAAATTAAAGTCTCAGAGAGTGAAATTTTGTCATTTGAAGCTGCATTGTTTTAAATTAGATAACACTTGTCCAAGAGATGGCACCACTAGCTCTATTTTGAAAAGAGTTTCATAAAATGTCCAAAAGATGGCGTCACTGACTTGTTTAGAGTGAGTGGCTAGTTATCGCAAAGTAAGAAAAGACCACTCCTTCCTCCAAAGTGGTTAGTTATCGTGTAAGAAAAGACCATTCCTTCCTCCAATCCGTTATAATCTGCTCTTTATAGAAGAAATCGAACTTTATTTGACGTATCCAGGCTTAAATTTGTTGATAATTATTAGAAGTAAAGATATTGATTTGGAATTGTTTTTATTTTCAAAAAATCAAGCAGCTCATCACTTGAAAATAAATGACTGCGTTTCTACAGTTAAGAATAAATAAATAAATTAAACAAATAAATAAAAATTACTAGTTAATTAATAATCAGTACCAAAATATTTTCAGTCACAATTTAATCGTTATTTGTTACGTTGCAATATCGCATTAAACAAATATCGTGCATCAGGACCGGCGCCAGAATTTACATTACGTCCAAGGGCGTTTTTTTTTTTTAACGTTTTGTGTGTTACTTTTATTTATTAAATATCATTTTCTTCACATTTAAACCATAAAATTCAGTTCAACAGCAGTATCACAAAATATTTAAGAGAGCATATCTTTAGAATTTCCGAACACAGTCTCTCACGCTGGAGATAAAAAAAAAAAATTTTTTTTCGTAGTGTTGCCATTGCTCGTAGTGTTGCTTTGAAATCGTCGAATTCCTTAATCAAAACTCATAAATGCTTTACAGACTATGGAATAGATAGAAAAACAAATTTAAAATTTGGGTTCCCAGATATTCGGGTGGAGACGTACGTTATTCAAAATTTAATGGCTCTAGGTTCCGTTGTTTTATTACAATGCGAGAAACATGCATACATTTATGCAGATTCTTCATTATTTAATTTCTTTAAATATAACACAGGGCTATAATATTTGGTGGCAACAATTTGAAATGTGAAACAACGCTTATAGTGAATCACTGCAAAATGTCAAAACGAAATTAACAGTCTGGGCAAATTGCTCCTTCGGACGGAAAAAAAAAACTTCATAATTTTTTTTTTTTTTTTTTTTTTTTTTTTTTTAAATAAATCCGTGCAATGTTTAAAACCAAAATAGAGAATAGAGTAAAACAAACTTTTGTAAGATCTCGTTTACCTCTGCAGATACATAAATTTTCTTTGTACCTTGTGCATTATCGAGTTCTATAAGTTTGAAGAGATAGCCTTAATAGCTACGTCAGATGAACAGGAAGAAGTTGATATCTTATTGAAAAAAAAAAAAAAAAAAAAAAATTCAACTCGTACAGCAAAGAAAACAGCTATGGCTAGCTCAAGGAAAACAAGACATACTATAAGTTTAATTTTCCATAACACAGGACAAATCATCGATATCTCTCTAAAATCAAAGTCTAAAACTATAATAGTCAAACAGGAGCTTAATACACTCATAACATTTTGAACTGAATAACTGAACTGATTGACTCTCCTTTCTAATGCAGCGGATGTTTATAATGTTGTTAAAGCATTTCTGGAAGATTTCAAATATCTAAAAATCCAGCATGTGACTAAGTCGACCAGAAATCTCCAAACTCGCAACAAAAAGTGTTGCCAAAGCCTCTTAAGAAGGTTTCTGCCCATGTCTTCAGTTTTAATTGAGCTTCGGTTTTAAGAGGGTTGATTTGGTGTATTAGATTACCGCAAAGCCTCGAGAGCTCTCTGTCTAAGGAGAGGGATGCCTTCGTGGAGGACATTTTAAAGGAACTGGCTCGTATACACGTCACGCACGGGGAAAACTACGAAAGCGCCCATGCAACTACCCCGCGGGATTCGAACTTCGAACCGAACTACAAATGTTCAGGCCATTGGTGGGCGTTTTTAAGAGGGGAAAAATCTTTCCTAAAAATTATTGGCTATAAGTTTATTGCCAAATTAGCGACATCTGGAGATTTTCGCCTACTTAAAGACATTTCGGAACTTTTTTCAAAAACAACGATTTTTCAGTTAACTTCCGAAAGTACTGAGTAATCCTATAAATACTTCTGCATTTGTAACGAGTGTTCAATTCCGTTACTTAAGGTGAATTTGTAGCATCTCTGTTTTTCTTCTTGAGCTGTTTACCTTACGTGAACCGTTATTTGTTTCAACATTAGAAATGTGCATTTCTTACGAGTATTACGAGCAACTCTCAAAAAAAAAATTCAACAGTTATTAAAGTACAGTTTTTACCTTATAAAACTTTTCTTTAAAACTATTTCACAAAAATATTATCGTTTCAGCCCCCAAGCCTTCCGGTCGAAGACCTAGGAAGCCCGGTGTAGAGAGGAAGCCTAGGCAAGCCTACAGTGCGAAACAGCTGGAAAGGCTGGAGGCAGAGTTTAAGGTGAGAAATTTACTACTACTTTTACTGAAACAAAAAGATATGATAATTCCTTATATTCGGTCCAATTTAAAGAGTGGCTGGGAAGAGCTAGAAACCCAGTCGACCAAGTGATGATGAATTATCTTCCATCAGATTTTAGTTCATATGTCAGTAGAGACATTTGCTTGCCCCCCCCAAGCCGAAAAAGTTAAAAATCAGTTAGGCCTTCGTCGGGATTCAAATCACGGGATAGACATGCTACCACTTACACGGCGAAAGTGCGCAAGGGAAATGTGATAATTCCTCACATTTTCCCTCACTGAAAGGATAAGTGATGAAATCCAGGTGATTCAACCGACCGAATTTAGGTTGTAACGAATTATGGTACCCAAATTTTTAGTTCAGTCGCTATTGAGGAGAGTTTTAGAAACTTTTCAGAGCAGAAAGCATGACGAATCAGCTGCATTCTAGCCGAGATTCTTACCTCTGAGCTTCTCCCAGCTAGGCGTGCCACTACTTGCAGCACGAGAGCACATGCATGCAACAATACGAGAATTCTTTATAACATGACTATGAGCCAGCATCCACTAAAAGGTCCGTTATGAACGTGCGCCGCAGCCCAGTCGTTATGGTGGTCAGGGAAACCGACTGCGATGCCGAAGCGCCTGGGTTCGAATCCCGGAGAAGGCATGGTTGTAACTGATTTTCCATCTCTGCATAGGAAAAGCGATGGTGGCCCACCTATTAGGTGCCTCCATCGCCTTTCCTATGAGGCCAGGCCACGCCTTTCCTACCTGGCCTTGCATAGATTAATGGACTGGGTTACATTTGTAATTATTCACGATCTACCATTGAAAAAAATAAATAAATAAATAAATAAATAAATCTGAAATGTTTCAGATTTTAAATTACGTCCAAAGGGGCGTTTTTTAACATTTTGTGTGTTACCTTTCTTTATTAAATATCATGTTCCTCGCACTTAAACCATAAGATCCAGTGCAACAGCAATATCGCAAAATAGTTTTAAAACGAGCATATCTTTAGAATTTCCGATACAGAGACTCACGCGCTGGAGATAAAAATGTTTTTTTCTGCACAACGTTGCCATTGCTCGCTTTGAAATCCTTGAGTTTGTTAATCAAAAATTCGTCAAAGTTTTAAAAAATAGGAAATCGATCATAAAACAAATTTCAAATTTCAAATTTGGTCTTCCACATGCTCATATTCGTTGGAGGATTACGTTATTCAAAATTCGATGACTCTATGTACCGTTGTTTTATCACAATACGAGAAATATACATACATTTATGCAAATTTTTCATTATTTAATTTCTTCAAATATAATGCAGGACTCTAACATTTTGTGGCAACAGTTTGAAAAGTGAACCGACATTTATGAGTCCGACGCAAAATGCCAAAACGAAACTAATAGTCCTTCGGGATTCAAATCCCTTTGGACTAAAAATGAATGTGCGCCTTCCTTTAGGCAGACAGTTCTGGTGTGCTTTTCGTAATCAGTCATCTAACCTGTCCTGACTTGCATATAATCATTATTTAATGTCTTAACATTAAAATTAACATCTAAGCCATAAGCCAGTAGTGCCCGACCTTATGCTCGTCCATCGTTTTGTATGTGCTCGACAGCCCGATTATGTTCTATGAACAAAAAAAAAAAAAAAAAAAAAAAAATTAAAAATAACTATTCATTTATAATTCTTAATTGTTAAAATATGGCAAGCATTTATAGTCATAAGAGATGCCTTGCAAGACGTTATAAAATAATTGTTTGTTAATATGGAATCTTATTGCGTCATTCCGATGTTAGATAGCTCAGCAGCGGAAAAGTACTGCAACGATTTGTAGAGCTTCTTTCGCCAAAAAAGCAGTTTCTGGAATCCGGAAACGAAAGTTATAAAGAATTGGACGATAATGATTGGTTATCCGATCTGTATTTTCTCACGGATATAATAGTTAAACTGAACAAAATTCTCCAGAGAAAAGACAAAAACCCTTTTTCAATTGACTGGGACTGTAATTGCTTTTCAGATAAAGTTAAATTTGTGGATAAATCAGATGAAAGACAAAAATTTCAACCATTTTCAGAATTTATCAAATGCCATTATTGAATAACCACAAGGCAAGTTGAAACAGAGAAATACTCGGGAAAACCTAAATGCACTGAAAAATAATTTTGAACTCCGCTTCTCTTATTTCCATAAAGTTTAACCAATATTATTATTCATCTCAAACCCATTTGCGGAAATTAATATTTCAGATGTATGACATAAGATCGGGAATGTGTTTAACAAAAATGTTGATGTTTTGGAAACGTGCTCGCGATAGGCCAAAATGGTCTCGCGATAGGCCAAAGGTTGGGCACCACTGATCTAAGCTATGAAATAATGCTACAGCATGCAAGATGAACACACCGACTCGGCTCCAAATTTTTAGATATAGTTTTTTCTACAAAAACAGTTATTACTAACTGGCTCATTTGACAATAAATTCGCTGAATGCATAATCAAAAGCACTTCTAATTTTTTCTGTTTTTATTACCTTTTTTAAACATAATTTGTTTTCTTTTTTCTTTCCTTTACATTTATTTATTTATTTTATCTTAATCAGTAGTTTAATTTAATTTAGGTTAATTTTCTTTTATTAATAATTGCATTATTATTTATATTTATTTCAGTTCTTATTTATTTTTTTTATAAATTATGAGCCCGTGCTGTATCCTGCTTATCAACACCTGTGGAAATGGTATGACCTTCAGTACTGAAAGAGACCAATTCCTCTTTAGTGCATATGTAGAGACTTCGAAGTGGGAATATCCGTATAATTGCAGTTCTGATAACCAAGGTAAATGTGAAAGAAGTTCGGAATTTGCTTTCTGAAGATAAAACGATACTTGATAACAGCTGAGTTTTCTTTCATCCGCTAAAAAGAGCGCTGATAAAAAATGTGAATGCTTGAATAGCTGAATATTTTTATTTATATATATATTGATGTTTAAAAATTTAACGAACACTGACTAATATAAGCTGAAGGAAGAGAAACAGTTTAACAGCCCATTATTTAAAAACTGTAAGCATATTGAAATTATTTAAATATTAAAGCGTCAAGAAGTTTCATTTTCCTCAGTAGGTTTCTGTATTTGCTTCGTCTGTCACATGGTGGATCTCAAAACATTATTTGATCTCATTTCTACAGAATGAACCACTAACATTACTCATTTTCAAAGCAGGATAAAAAAAAAAAAAAAAAAAAAAATTCTGCATAGCAAATTACAGTTAAACGCGATGAGGTAAGCCAGCGCCTTAAACGCCTAAAACAGACTATCTTCCACTACGTCAAAGCATTGCTGCCATTTTCCAATTCCACTTGACCGTACCGCAACACAGAGTGTGCAGCATAATACGCGCAAACGCCTTACGAATTGCATTTCTTTCAAGGCTGTTAACATCAGATAAGGTGTGAATGAAAATTTCGAATACCCCCATAAAAGTCTTCCGCGTTCTCTCAGCGAATTCTCTCGGCTTGGTGACATTCAGCAGACTTTTTATGGGGGATTTTTAACTGTCACAACCTGCGGGACGTTAACAGCCCAAAAATTGCAATTCGTCACCCCGTTGCGTCAGTCGCTGGACCTTATGAGTCGCGTCATGGCCAAGTGGACCTGGAAGTTGGCAACAATGCCTTGATTGTCACAGCAGTAGTTATAAGTGAATATATGTGGTGACGTAGAGATGGAGTATATAAGATTCTAGCTAAATCGGCAGTTTTTAGCAACTAGAATACTTAAGAAGTGTGTATCGACTATTGCTTACCTCTAAGGCTTCAATACTAAGACCAAAGAAGGGTTAAATTACCCTTTAGAATATTCAGCCCTTACAGGAAACCTACACTACATTAGCCCTTACAGGAAACCTACACTTGGGCTTTGATTTAAGACAAAAAAATAATAAACTAATGTAATGCTAACTAAACTAAAATCAGCCGAAGCTGCACAGCAGTAACTAACAGAGCTGGCCCTTAATACGATCACCGGCGAATACCAGCAGGCAGATAACATTACAGCCGAACATAAAGATTAGACTTAAAGCAGCGACGTGGCCAGAAGGCAGAACACGCTTTACTAAGAACATCTAAGCTCTTCTACTAAAGTGGCTGAGACTTCCCTTTAAATATTGGTTCTACCTTATTTACATAAAATGCAATCCTGAAAACTCATTCTGGTAGGTGGGAAACAAGAGGAAAAAAATAAGGAAAGTTGTTCAAAATTAAAAATAGCTGTTTACAGGAAATTAAAATAAACCCTTCAAGTTAAACGAGGTATAATGTAATCCCAACAATTTTCTAAATATTTGTAAATATACAGGGTGTTTATAAAGTCCCGGACCCATTTTGATGTTTAATAACTCATTAAATAATGACGATATAAAAAAACTTGTGGCATTTATTGATGGAATAAACTTATACTATATTTTCCTTTTCAGGTTTGAATATCTTTACTTTTGTAAATATCGTCTGCGCGTGTGGTTAATTTCAGATAGTTTCATTTTCCAGTCTAAATATCCGTACTTTTCTAAATATCGTCCTCTTATTAATTGCATTTTTCTCTCTTTTGTTTTTGGCAACTATTGCAATGTTACGGACTTTTTCCTTTGGGGATTTGTAAAAGACAACGTTTACAGGAGGAGAGTGTCGAACATTGATGACCTAAAAGCCAGAATTACAACCGCAATAGCCTCTGTGGATGCCGACATGCTTGGCCATGGTACCATGGCGTGAAATTGAATATCGACTTGACATTCTCCGTGCGACGAAGGGGACACAAGTGGAAATTCATTGACAAGGGTCATGAAACTTTTTTATCCTATCTAATCATTTATGTTATTAATTTTAATCTATCTTTATTATTTTATGAGTTATTAAACATCAAAATGGGTCCGGGACTTTATTTTGATTCCTAAAGCAGTATTAGAAGAAAAATAAGTGTGCGTACTCAATGCAACATGACATCAATAACTACGCATGTGATGAGGCAAAGAAATTAGTTCTCAAAGTGGTCTCAAATTGCATGCGATCCAAATTCATGATCTGATCATTTTATTTTAAAAATGAGAGTAAATTTATGTATATGTGTGTGCGTGCATGAGCGTTCGTGTGTGAATATATTACTCTCCTTGTAAGTTTACATATTTGGAATTATACTTTTAAAACTTAATTTGTCTTGAACATGGTTTAATTGAAAATTAATTTCAATAATATTCAGTTGCAATTCCGACTTTTTTTTTATATTTACTTTTTATTTTCTGAATTTATAAATTTTTCCTTCTCTCCCTGATAAAATTACTAGACATTACTCAAAAAACTACAATAACATTAATAAAAAATATCATGGTCCAAGCATGAATCATATCGGAACTAAATTGCATCAGAAAAAGATCATGCTGTCAATTTGTTCGCATTTCAAAGATGTTGTATATTTTGAGCTGCTTCAAAGAAACCAAACGATCAACTCAGATGTTTACTGCCCGAAACTTATGAAACTGGAGGAATGAATTAAAGAGAAAAAGGCCAGAATTGGCAAACTGCGAAGAAATCGTGTTCCGCCACGATGATGTGAGGCCTCACGAATATTTAGCAACATGTACGAAATTATTGGAGTTTAGTTGGAAAGTGATGTCGCATTACTCATGTAGCCCTGACTTTGTACCATCGGATTATCATTTAATTCCAAGTTTAAAAACTTCTTAAATGGTAAAATTTCAGTAATAACGATGCCCTCAAATCGCACTTGGTTGATTTTTTTGCTGCTGAAGACCAGAACTTCTAGGAGTGCGGAATTATGACGTCACCAGTAAGATGGTAAAATGCCATCGAGATAGAATAGAAAATATCTGACTGATTAAAGTTCATTATTTGTTTAGAAATAACTAAGTTTCATTTCACACCAAAATCCGAAATTATTTTTTTGCCAACTTGATATGTGAGCTTTTTGGTTGCCTATGTTTCGTATAGAAATGTTTATTAATTAAAACTTTAGTTAGAAATGTTTATTAATTTAACTATATTAACAAGTAATTATTAAGTTTTTTCAGTTTAGAATGTTTAGAACAGATTTATGTCAAACTAGCTCTCTTTTTCTAACAAAACATTTTAACTGATTTTTTTATTGTGAGTAAAATTGGCTGCTTAAAAACAATATAAATTTTCTGATATTAATAACTTTGAATCATTATCCGCTTACGAATATTAAATTAAATTAATTATCACTTGATGTTTCTTTGAGTGTTATTGTTATTACTACTCAGACTACATAAAATAGCTATTGAGAAATACTGTGAAAGAATGTCTTTCATTCTACTATCATGTTCATGTACGCTATAAATGTATTTATCTTATTTTCAGGTGGATAAATACCTAAGCGTAAGCAAAAGAATGGAACTCTCTGCAGCGTTAAATTTGACAGAAGTACAAATCAAAACCTGGTTTCAAAACAGAAGGTAGGTATAAAGTCAAACTTTTATCATTGGTTTTCCAAAGTCATCAAATTTTATTGATTATTTAGTGCCATCTCTAAGATTAATTATATTGGGTTCTTTCGTATTAAACACACTCCATTGGACAACGTAGTCACATTTTAGTTTCCGGCGAAATATGTTTAGCGATTGTCTTTAGAAGGACATCGAATATATCATTTGCAGTGTGTGATTTCCTCCAGAGAAACTTCGCTAGGTAGACCTCGAGGTGGTGGCGAGCTGTTCTACAGTGCTTTTTATTTCGAAATTTATTACTTCCCCGTATGCATTAGATATTTTGCGTGTGTGTGTGCCAGTTTCAACATCGACAAAATTATTTTCTTTTATTTACTTTGTAGAGACAGGTTATTTCGAAACAAGGCAATCGAAGAGATGAGCAATGCCCTCGCTAGGTCTCGAACTGCGGACCTCTCAAATACACGCCGAGCTTGCTGACCACTAAACCACAAAAACATGCTAAGATGCTAAGAAGACGAGAGTAATACTTTATATACTTCCCCTTTTTGAAGGACGACTGGGGATTAGGTTACCCATTAGTTCGGGCATCAGAGTAGAGATGTTAGTTTGTTCCCCCCCCCAAAACAAGGAAATCGAAGAAATGAGCAATGCTCTCGACGGGACGCATATTTCACAATTGCACATCAAGGTAGCCACTGAGGGAGGGGTTTCGAAAATGAACCAATGAGCTGCTATTGCTCTTGTGACGCTAAATCTTCGTGCATGTGAGCGTATGTTGTTTATATTTTAATTTGCATTTGTTTCACAGTTATAAATATATGGCGTGATAGTAGAAAATCTCGAAGTGCTTTCGTTTTCTGAGTTTGATTAATTTGCCTTGCTGTTGAATTTGATCATTTGCCTTGCTGCGGAGTGAGAACTGAATTAATTGAATGAGAGATATATCTCTAATGAAATTAGAGGAAATAAGTTTAAATGAAGTGCAGGGAAAAATGCGTGTAATTTAATATCCATACAAGGAATTCATATGGTGTAGACATCACTTTTTTTTAAAAAAAAAGAAAGCTTTAACTATGTTTATACTGAAATGAATTCATTATGGCTTAAGCCAGTGTTTACATTCGAGATAAATTTGATATATACCCTATCGATAAAAGTCTTTGTTTTCGCAACCATTAGTCGTAGAACTGTAATTATACAAATGATTTAAATAAGATAAATATTCTTATTTTGACATTTTTAAATTTTAAATGTGAATTTTGTAAAAACTGTAAAATCCAACTAACAAATTTTCATACGAACTCGGATTCCTATAATTATGTTTAATAAATATTTATACATATTCTAAAATCTAAAACATAAAATATATGACTCCCGTGCGACAAAAATTGACCGATACATTTAATTTTAAAATTTGAGATGATATTTAGGTGTCGCATGCAAACTGAAGAGAAATCTTTTATTTCTAAGCAACTAAAAACGCAATGTAAGTTTAGGAAGAAAAGTGTCTAATGTTAACAAATTAAGCATTTATTTAGACTGTGGTGAAACATTCTGAATTATACGAAAATTTACAAAAGAGATCGCATTCGCAGAATCTTATACAGTTCTTGTTTTAGAAAGCAGTTCCAGACTTCAGAACTGCTGGCACGCAGATAATTCATAACATAATTGATATAAATTAAAAATGAAGAATATTTCTAGTTCAACTAATGTTTCCCGTTATTTTAGCTTATGATGCAAAAGTAATAAAACTACATGTGCATATTATTTAAGCATTTTTACATTCAAACCTTTGACTACAAATTAAAAATAAATAAATAAATAAATACGCCGTTTTCTATACAAGTAAACAAAATATGTCATAAATAAGGTAAGTTTAGCATTTGGGATTGTTTTGACAAACGAATTTCAAGCCAAAGGCTGGGACACCCAGCCTTTGGCTTGAAAATCGGCTGGGACACATATGTCCCAGCCGTAATTAATGGTGGGATACATATTTCCCAGCCGTAATTAATGGTGGGATACATATGTTTCAGCTGTAATTAATGGTGGGATACATATGTCCAAGCCGTAATTAATGGTGGGATACATATGTTCCAACCGTAATTAATGGTGGGATATATATATCCTACACGAACTATAAGCACACCTATTATTCTGGAAAACTTTATTATATGAAAAACTTTATTATTACTTTACATCGTGTGGTAAAGGGTAAAGCATTCTTTACATAACCAACATTACACATAGGGCAATTCATATCGGTCTTTTCTCTTGTAGAGACATTAGGTTATTTCGAAGCAGGGGATATGAAAAATGTTCGATGCCCTCGCCGGGACTCGAACCTCAAACCTCTCGAATACGCACCGAGCGGGCTGAGCATTACACCACGAAGGCATGCTAAGAAGGCGTGAGAAATACCTTATACTCTATGTTCATTTGTTCTTTTCTCTGTTCTCATTTGTGAACAGCCCACCAGCGGCCGAGCGGTAAAGTCGCTGAACACTGGTAGTTCGGTCCGAGGTTCGAATCCCGCGAACGGGCTGGCTGCATGGGCGTTTTCGTGGTTTTCCCCATGTGTAACTTGTATACGAGCCAGTTTCCCTTAGAAAGTCCTCTACGAAGGCATCCCTCCCCTTAGGCAGATAGCCCTCGAGGCTTTGCCATAATCATACACAGACACACATTTGTGAACAACGAGCACAGCGGCGTCTTGGTTTTCCTACTGTTGGAAGATGATCCCAACATTCGGGAGATTCTAAGCACTTTTTAACATAGCAGTGATTTTTAAACTTTTGGTGAGCCATATATGCCCCGTTAGTACTCAAAAGGTTAAAATATAACTAATCATGAATGAGTTATATATTCATTTAAGATAATTATCGTTTCCTTCATGATAATTATGCTTACATTTAAGGTAATTGTGTTTACATTTAAAACAATTAATTAAGGTCGCATAAGCGGTTTATAGACCAGGGGTATGTATGATTATAATTTCATTTTATTAATAAAATATAACTAAACATGAATGAGTTATATTTTCGTTTAAGATAATTATATTTTCCTTTATGGTAATTATGCTTAAACTTAAGGTAATTGTGTTTACATTTAAAATTATTAATATCATAAATTCAATAAAATGTATTTTTACAGGACGAAATGGAAAAAACAGCTGACAGCACGAATGAAAATTGCACAAAGACAAGGGCTGTGGCCTCCTCACTATCTTCCATCTGCGCATGCTTTTGCGCCTTTCCTCAGTACATCCTACTGCCAATTGTCATCAGCAGCTCTGGGTGACAGCCTCGCTGGAGCCACAGTTGGTGATAATGGTGCAACTTCATCCGAACTTGATGACAATAAGTCATTAGACGACAAGTGAATGTACTTCTAATAGTTTACTCACGCAGTTTTATTGAGAAGAAAAGTACGAACACCGTGTTTTCCAAGCCTTGGCTTAGCTATGTGATACGAATGATACAAAAGTATACGTACTCCAAAGTTAGCTTGACTTAAACGTGTTAAAAAATTTATAACCAGCTTCAAAAGAATGAAAATTAAAAAGCAGAGCTTGAAGACAATAATAAAAATCACTCTGCTATTTCATTGTAAATTACTTCTAGTTCATTTTGTAATAAATACTCATTGAATGGAGCATTGAACAATATAAAAATCATCATGTTAATGTTTCCAACCATCGTGTCTGATTAAAACAAGTTCTGTCAATAGTTATTCCTATGGGGGGATTGACCTCTTTTACTAGCTGCTAAGAAATCGCATAAGTGCAAAATGATGTAAGAAGCTAAATGAAGATTACTCAGTTTTTCAAAATTAATATATTTCTTCATTCACAGTTTACTACACAGTTTCAGTTCATTCACGGTTTTATTCAGCTGAAACTTTTCACCTGGTTTAAACTTACTAAATGAGGGTGTAAAGGAGAGTGTTATGGAGCATATTATACAGAATATTACGGATATAATGTCAATTCTTCATTCAGTTTCTTAATGTCATAAGGCAGGCAAATCATGTTCGACTAGTTTTTAATTTTATTAATTAGTTCAGGAATAAATACATTAAAAGTTTATGTGAAGTTCACATATTTACTAAAAAAAGACTCGGAATTGCAAATATCATATTGTTATCATGTTTATGTTAACATTATATCATTCTATATATGTTACAATGTTATCATTATATCATGTTACTATGTCATCATGTATATGGGTATGATGGCCTATCTAATATTAGTAATTACAACAGCATAATAATATGCAAAAAATTAAATGCAATAACGGAAAGAAAAACTGGAAGCCTTTTAAAGACCTTACAAAATCTCGATGGGTTTGTCTTCATAATAGAGAGAAAGCTTGTCTTATAATCCATTTTGGCTGAAGCTTGCTCCCCCACGTTTGATCTGCTTGATAATGATGATATTTTGGTTTCATTTGTAAGTTAATGAGGCTATATTTTACTTTCAAAGGTTAATTTGCCCTAGCCGTAATATGAAGCTAACCATCAAATAAATTAGCCAGGTTTTTGTTGATTGTTGGCCTCATCTTACTTGGCCCCTTCGATCACAGAGTTTGCAGGGATTCTTTTCTTGTGTTTGCGTTAAATTAAAACAGCGTTATAATTTCGTAAAATTGTATCGCTGTTTAATTAACTTAGTTGTTAAACTGTAACACTGTTCTTTAAACTGAACCGCCATCGCTGCAGTAGATCCATTAGCAATGGAGCAAGTGTGAGCCAAATTAGATCACTAGACAGATATTCCCATCTCATGACGGATATCGAGAATTTACACAACCTGCGTAAATCTTAGGAATATTTGTTTCATTAAAAGCAATGCATTGTTGTCTTCTGTTAATGCGATCCGTGATAAAATTTCCGAAATTTTATAAATTACCCTGTAGAGACATTAGGTTTTTTGGAAGCAGGCAAGAGACAGGTACAGGTAGAAGCTAGGCCAGCACCTCCGTAGTACCACAGATAATTGAGGTATTGCTGAACCTAGCTAACTGTTAAACTTTTCACCCCAATTATGAGGGAGAACATCCCGGGGGTGGTCCGAGGTTCTCCCGCCCCTCTTTTTTTACCATCAGCCACTTGGGAGGACTTTCTGAGATAAATGAGTTCTGGTATTAATAGTGTACACAAATCATATTGGGAAAAGACTGTCCTTGAAAAGTTCAACAACTGATGCTTCCAAAAGCAGAAATGTAAGAATAAATGTCTTTTCTAAGGCGGAAGGTGTAATAAGCAAGTCTTTGGAGCTCCCGTCCATCAGCATTGCGTAGATAAATGAAACTGTTGGAACTTAAAATGAAATAAAAAAATAAAAATAATAAATAAAAAATAAATATGAAAAAATAAAATAAAAATAAAATAAAAATAAAATAAAATAAAATAAAAAAGACAAATATGGTTTAGTAACATATGTAGATGAATAAGCATTAGATATGACAAATATCCAGTCCGAATCTTTGGATATGTATAAGAACGTCTCTGATTTTGGCCCTAAGGTGTTTGTTCTTTATGGCATATTTCTTAAATGGTATTAGATTATTGTTAGGCTTGATCAGATGTTTGCCGTCTGTTAGATTACAGTCAAAAATGTAATGATCAGGGTCACCCCCTTTCGCCACATATGCAGAGATCGTGGGGCACATGCCTCTGTCATGGAAGTAGGTGGGGAAAGGACCGTGCCCTGTGATATACTGATTCAGAACATGGTCATAATGTAGGGCCTCTTTGTCAGTTTTTGAGAAAAAATTGTGGACTCTTCTGCCTTGCAATGCAGAATCCCACTCTTCTTGCCACTTTGAGTCGACAATAGCATTCAGTGTAAATTTTAAAATGGGACTTGGGCCACGGGACATGAATATGAGCAACGTTCGCCGGGAATCGACCCACGGACCTCTGGAATACGCGCCCAGCGTGCAGACCACTACACCACGAAGGCACGCTAAGAAAGAGGGAGAAATACCTTACAACCCTATAATCTTTTAATACATCAAATGCTATTCAATGCCTAAAATTCTACAAGTGTGCTTCGTTGCATTCATTTAAAAACTAGCGGAAGTACCCGATGCCAGTTAAATTAAATTGAAAGTAATGCATCTAACAACAGAGAGAACGATATCGCTGTATTCCTTCTCTAATAATGATGCAAAAAGTTCGATTCATAGTCATACATTTTTCAGTCGGATGTGATAGGGAATCCACATAAAAATTTTCCATACAAATATAAGCTAATTCTCACTCATTAAATCAGCAACACTAGCACGCAGTTTTGAATCATTTTCGTCTTTCTAATTAAATTGTCCTGAAAGCTGAAGTTCCATTCAATATTTCACCTATATTCAATTTTAGTGGATTAAATATGGCAAAAAATGTATCATAATTAATCAGAAATCAATAACGCGAACAAATAAACAATCACACAAACAGATATTCTTCCTTATATAGAGAGATTTTGTAAAACATACAAATTTTTGATTACCGAACTCTGCGATTTGAAGGCCAGCAGTAGCAACACTTTTCGAAATAAAAGCATTTTTATTTCCAACGTGCGAGTCTGTTGCCATTCAGAAAAATAACTGCGAAAATGAACGTTTTCGGAGTTCTTAATTAATATCTCGGCTGATTAAAGTCGTACTCAGACGAAATGACTTCCCACGAATTTTTGGAATCGGAAATAATTTATTTAATGTTTGGCAATGCTATTTTTATTTCATTGTAAAACTTAGGAATTTTTTATTAATAAACTCGATTTGAAAGCGAGCAGTGGCAACAACTTTGGAAATAAAGCAGATTTTCATCTCCAGCTTGTGAGACTGTTGCCAAAATGAGGGCGAAAATTATCGTTTTTCAGTGTTTTAATTAATATCTCTGATTTTAGCCAAATTTTTTGGGGGGAGGGAAATGTGGACGTCGACCGTTTCCAGGACCCAAAAAAGAATTGCAAAAAGTTTGGTGACGATAGCTATAGTAGTGACTGAGTTATTAACGAACAAACACACAGACTTTCTTCTTTATATATAGAGAGATTACTTATTAAATTAACTAAAGCAGAGGAGAAAATTTTGTCGATGTTTTTAACTGGAACTCTGCTAAATGCACATATTTCGATTTCTTTTCTTGTCAATAAAAGTGCACCTTTAAAGTATGGAACTTTTAATAATTATAACTTGCTTATTCGATAGGCTCAACGATACTTAATACAAGATGATGCGTTTTGTATCCACCAGTTTGAACATGCGTGGAGAGATTATGAGACAAGCAATTAATATACCATGGGACCAGTGGCCGATGCAGCTGCTGCCGATTGCAGTGGTAGAAGCTTTCATTGAGTTTTTGGTCACAGGCGTTCAGTGTTTGTTGCAGTGGAACAAAGAACATCGCCAGAATTATAGGCAGGGCGGCACAACAGCAAGCACTCGGACAGACATTTCCAGTTTCCCAGATTTCATGGTTTGAGGTTTAGACTTGGCCATCTCTCTCCTCAGACACAGAGTGCTTTCTTAAAATAAAACAAATCAGCTCAGCAGTATTTATGTTGCGACTTCGTTTTATGGTACGAGTTTTATGTATCTTTTTTTGTGGATGGCATGGGTTTTCGGCGTTGCCATGGACGTTCTGATCCGTGTTTGCTAGTGATATAAGCGTTCTAACAATTCTAATGTTGATATGAATTGAATGGAATTATGTATCGTATTTTTGTTCTGTTTATTGAATAATATCCTAGTAGAGAATTCCTGCTTTAATTCAAGGAAACTGTGAAGCTGCTGATGTGAAGTGTTAATAAAATTGTTATTCGTCAAGAAGAATGTGCAGAATCCAAGTAGATAAGATTTATTTATTTTCTATAAATATTGAAAATGTAACCAGATTTTCTAATAGTAGACTCACTGTGTCTAATTATTATTAAGGTTTATAAACGTATATTAAGAGCCTGTGCAGAACAACCGTTGAAGGGTAGTCTCGACGTAGTTCTGATATTTTGGGTGTTTTGATAAATTTTCGTTAAAATTTACTTTTCCGTTAGCGTTCTTAAAATTGAAAAGCTATAAAAGTTTGAGAAAATTTATTGCTTATAAAATTACCAAACATTCTAAAAAACAATTATTTTTCACGCGCACGCATTAATCCAGAACAACAACAACAAAATAATCCAAAGCACACACATTGCAGCAGGAAAATAAACACAATACACAATATAGTACGACTGAACACAGTACAACAACAAAATATAATACATTAAAAAAATAAATGCCTTCAAATATTTATATTACGCCCAAAGGGTCGGGTTTTTTTTTCCATTTACACACACACAAACACGTTTCGAGAGCATATGAGTTAACGCCTCTTTCGACTCAAAATATTTAACAATAGCATATCTTAGAATTTACGATAGACAGTCTCGCGCGCTGTTTTATTCCCTTCAGTGTTGCCACTGCTCGATTTGAAATTGTAGAGTCTCTTCATCAAAAATCCGTTAAAGTTTTACAAAATATGAAATAGCTAATAAAATAAAATAAAAAATTCGAGATTCGGACTTCCGAATATTCGGATGGTTAACTTCGTTATTCAAAATTTGAGTGCTCTAGGTACCGTTGTTTTTTCAAAATGCGAGAAACATGCATATATTCATGCAGATTCTTCATTATTTAATTTCTTTAAATATGTTACAGGGCGATAATAT